AGGGAAACCCTGTATGACATACACCTTTCTCGTGCTCCATTCAGGCGCGCTGCATTCAGATTGGTTCGGATAGCATACTTTGGGAGGTCGGGGGCGTGGAAAATCGTGCTATAAAGCAATTTAGAAATCGCGCAAGCTCAAATCGCGATTTTATGATGATTTCGATTAATCGCACAGCCCTACTTGGCAGACCCTTTTGGTGTAACCAAACCCTTTCTTTTTCTTTTTTTAATGAAATAACACCAATTTCCTTTAAGTAGAAATAATAAAATTATGCACTTCTTTTGGCATTTTAGATTTCAGCATCATTTGTTGTATAAATACAGTATATTAATACAACACATTAAAAATTGCTCTGTGTTAGGCTCTTAATTATTAATTTCCAATGGTAAGTTAATTTTGACAGTGAACAGCCAAGGTGTTAAACCTTTCAAATTATTTATTATTTTTATTTATTTTTTCAGTCACCAAGTTTTGAAGTCCTTTAATGAAGGACAAAAAAAATATCCGTTCCAAATTTACTGTGTGTCCTAGGAGAGTTTAAGAGGATAGGAGGGTTTTAGCATGCGGACAGAAGAAAACTAGTATAAAAAAGAAAAAAAATCTAGCTAAACTCATTTGTCAACCATAATAAACAAATTTTATCTGTGTGTTGCTGGATGATTATTCAAGTAGTCAGCCATCATGATCCAACCCAAAACAATTTACTGCATTCGGAGACTCCACTGGCTCATTATAAAGTCAATCTATGTCACACATACACTATTAAGGCATTAATATATTCTGCTGCTCCCTCTTTTACAAAACAACACAAAAACTCAGAGAACAGTCAACATTTAGTTGTGTAGAATTCAAACAGAGTAAGTTCACTACACAGAGTATATTCAGATCCTACAAGGATCTTCTAACCTCAGAGGAAACTGGAGAAGGAAATGATACTCCTCCAAACAGAGTCAAGAGTTGGACCACACTCACTCAAAGACATGTTCTCCTCTGAGCAAAAGCAAGTCACAGTGATGTGGTCATCACCAAAATGAACAAACCTCACAACACAAACACGCACAACTCAAACACAACAAGCTATTATGAAAGTGCCTAAAAACACCAGCACAAACACGTGCTGTTTGGAGGACATGTGTTCAGTGTGTCTTACTTTGATTTGATAGGGCGCCTCATAGCTCCTATGAGGGCTGAATCCAGCACACAGTTTGAAGAGGCTTTTCATGGCTGAACATGACTGTTTAACATCTGTTTACTGCTCACGACCACTGTGCTCATCCTCTGTGCTGGAGATCTGGTGTGACCACCATTTGCCTCACGCAGTGCAACACATCTCCTTCGCATAGAGTTGATCAGGTTGTTGATTGTGGCCTGTGGAATGTTGGTCCACTCCTCTTCAATGGCTGTGCGAAGTTGCTGGATATTGGCAGGAACTGGAACACGCTGTCGTATACGCCGATCCAGAGCATCCCAAACATGCTCAATGGGGGACATGTCCGGTGAGTATGCTGGCCATGCAAGAACTGGGATGTTTTCAGCTTCCAGGAATTGTGTACAGATCCTTGCAACATGGGGCCGTGCATTATCATGCTGCAACATGAGGTGCTGGTTGTGGATGAATGGCACAACGATGGGCCTCAGGATCTCTTGCATTCAAAAAGCCATCAATAAAATGCACCTGTGTTTGTTGTCCATAACATACGCCTGCTCATACCGTAACCCCACCGCCACCATGGGCGAACAGCTAAACCCACACAACACCATACACGCTGTCTGCCATCTGCCCTGTATAGTGAAAACCGGGATTCATCCATGAAGGGAACACCTCTCCAAAGTACCAGACGCCATCGGATGTGAGCATTTGCCCACTCAATTCGGTTACGACGACAAACTGCAGTCAGGTCGAGACCCCGATGAGGACGACGAGCATGCAGATGAGCTTCCCTGAGACGGTTTCTGACAGTTTGTGCAGAAATTCTTTGGTTATGCAAACCGATTTGTAACAAAGTTTGTAGTCACGGGAAGAAGGAGGTGGGAACCGGCGAACGTTCAAAGAAAACTTTAATAATAAAATAAACACAAAATAGCGCGACAGCCCCTCGCGGACGACTGTCACGCACAAACAGAACCAAAACACAAAATAAAGTCCAGGCCTGGTCCTCTCTCGTCTTTCACTGTCGTAACTCCTCCTTTTATCCTTCCGGAGCTCCTCAGTGGGACTCGAGACCGATGAGTGGTGCAGGTGTCGCTCATTATCAATTACTCCACCGGCCTCGCTCCGTTCCCACGGCTCTACTGCCCCCCTCCCCCCTCCGGGGGAGCCGATCACGGCGGCCGCGGTGTACCTGGGGGTAAGGACAGAGTCGTATACGCCGATCCAGAGCATCCCAAACATGCTCAATGGGTGACATGTCCGGTGAGTATGCTGGCCATGCAAGAACTGGGATGTTTTCAGCTTCCAGGAATTGTGTACAGATCCTTGCAACATGGGGCCGTGCATTATCATGCTGCAACATGAGGTGCTGGTTGTGGATGAATGGCACAACGATGGGCCTCAGGATCTCTTGCATTCAAAAAGCCATCAATAAAATGCACCTGTGTTTGTTGTCCATAACATACGCCTGCTCATACCGTAACCCCACCGCCACCATGGGCGAACAGCTAAACCCACACAACACCATACACGCTGTCTGCCATCTGCCCTGTATAGTGAAAACCGGGATTCATCCATGAAGGGAACACCTCTCCAAAGTACCAGACGCCATCGGATGTGAGCATTTGCCCACTCAATTCGGTTACGACGACAAACTGCAGTCAGGTCGAGACCCCGATGAGGACGACGAGCATGCAGATGAGCTTCCCTGAGACGGTTTCTGACAGTTTGTGCAGAAATTCTTTGGTTATGCAAACCGATTTGTAACAAAGTTCGTAGTCACGGGAAGAAGGAGGTGGGAACCGGCGAACGTTCAAAGAAAACTTTAATAATAAAATAAACACAAAATAGCGCGACAGCCCCTCGCGGACGACTGTCAAGCACAAACAGAACCAAAACACAAAATAAAGTCCAGGCCTGGTCCTCTCTCGTCTTTCACTGTCATAACTCCTCCTTTTATCCTTCCGGAGCTCCTCAGTGGGACTCGAGACCGATGAGTGGTGCAGGTGTCGCTCATTATCAATTACTCCACCGGCCTCGCTCCGTTCCCACGGCTCTACTGCCCCCCTCCCCCCTCCGGGGGAGCCGATCACGGCGGCCGCGGTGTACCTGGGGGTAAGGACAGACAGACGAGGCGAGAGAAAAGGAGACGGAAGGATGAGGAGAGACAGATACGAGAGAGGAAAAGAAGCGAGTCCCCCGTTCTCTGCTCCTCCCCAATCATGGCGGACGGCAGCAGGCTCCGGCCTCCTCGCGAACGGGGCCGACTCCTCTGCTCCCTCTCAGACGGCAACCACCCCTCCTCGACCCAGGGGCGTGGCAGCGAGCTCTCCTTCCCACCTCGTTCTCCATCGTTCCAGCACCACCGCCTCGGGCTGCCACCGACAGTCTCTCCGCTTGCTCCTGTTGCCCGATTTCCTCAGCACCGCGATGCATCTTGATATGCCACACCTGTGAGGTGGATGGATTATCTCGGCAAAGGAGAAGTGCTCACTAACACAGATTTAGACAGATTTGTGAACAATATTTGAGAGAAATAGGCCTTTTGTGTACATAGAAAAAGTCTTAGATCTTTGAGTTCAGCTCATGACAAATGGAGGCAAAAACAAAAGTGTTGCATTTATAATTTTGTTCAGTGTAAAAACAGAAAACTTTTCATGCATTTTGGCTATTGTTTACATGACAACAACGTTTTGGTGGCCTGAAAATGCAAACTTTTGAAAAAAAAAAAAGGGTTTCAAAGCGCAACTTTTTAAAAATTACGTTAATCATCTCTGTGTAAACTACGAAAACTGTGATTTCATTTGCATACATATTACGTGTTCAGACATTGTTATCTGTACATGAATCTTTTAAAAAATGCAAAGGAAAAACTTTTAAATTGTTGTGCAAACGTACCCTTAATCTTTTTGTATCTTTCTAAGAGTTGTAGCGTCTGCGTAGGATCATGCATGATAGTTGGACTGTTTATGGCTTAAAAGACCCCTTTTAGCCTTTAGCGCTACTCTACACTGCTCAAAACTCGCATTTGAATCGTCAGTGTCAAATCCTTTATATATGAAAACATACTTACAGTCTGTAAATCAGAACAGCTGGCATTGTAGTCTACTCTCCCAGGATCAGGAAACAGTCCTCCATAAAATGTGCTGCACACATCTGAATATTTTGGTTAAACTGTTCTGGAACAGTGTTGTAAATACAACTTAACCACTGATTTCTAGCCGTGTCCTCTTTTGGAAGGCCAAACAAAGTATTTTCGTTTTCACAACAAAACACACAGCGTCTCCACGACATGGCGGCTGCGGTGGCAACAATACTATAGCGAGAATAAAAGTCTTCTTGCTTTGCGTGAACATTTGGGCGGCGTTATGCAAATCTTCCCACACAGTGATGTAGACATGTGGGGGCGTGTTTAAACGAGGCATTTTAGGAGGGCGTGGACCAGTCTTAACTTTTATAAAGAATATCTCTTTGGGTTTGAGACTTTAGTCTTTGCAACTTTAGGGATCTTATCTATTCACGAACAGCTTGTAACACTCCAAAGAGGAAGGAAAATTTGAAATCGTATCATATGACCCCTTAACTTAACTTACTTAATATATGGTTTATATTCAGTATAATGTGCACAATACGCAAATATGTCTCTGCAGAATATCTAATTGATTTGTTAGCTTAGCTAGTTAGCATGAGTCCTTTAGCACCCGATGGTCTTTTTTATTTTCCTGTGTGTCACCTTTGATGCCGCAGCTCAGTAAATCCACTAATGAAGGGTTTATTGAGTACAGTGCAACTGAGGTAAGTGCCGCAGAGAGAAAGCAGCTGCAGAGGTCAGATCTGTGCATCATACCTTGTCACTGTCTACAGTGTTCTGAGAGGTTCTGGATGCGATGGAGATGGTGTCCTGCTGACTGCTGCCATCTCCTTGACTGTCAGCATCCTCACCAGCCTCCCTGCAGCCAAACACACAAATAAGAGTCCCGATTAGGGATGTGCCTGAAGCTGGATACTTTATTCAGCACAGATAATGTTGTCAAAATGAATAAATTCAAACAAATAACAATATTCATTAGATACAGTCAGTCCTTGTTCTTGCTGGATAACAGGTGAGCCAGCTGAATAGTTTAGATAAACAACACAGAAAAAGTGAATGTGTAAAGTGAATAAGTGTAACCTTTATGAATGAAACAACACAATATCATTGCCTTCATGACTATTTGACGTTTTGGCGAATACTTATTTCCATATGTACACATTTTAACAAGCGAATGGAGCTTGCATGAGGAGAGACAAGATGGCAAATGTTTATACATGAGCATAAGCCTCCTGCATCGTCATGCATAAATGGGTATGAATATTCATGAATGTAGTGTTTTGTCTCATTCTTTCAATAGATTTACATTTAGCAGATGCTTGCATCCAAAGAGACATACAAATGATTTGATCGCAACAAACAAAGCAGAATCTACAAATAGCAACGTTTACAACTGCAGCAGCATTTTGAGAGCTGAGATTATGATTGTATTATGAATGAATTCAGCGTTTCATTTTTAGGACTGGAATAGAGTATGCAAATGGTACAATGTGTCTGACCTCTTGCTGTTGTTGCGGGGTTTGGCTGGGGTTTTGGGAGCATGGATCGGTTCCTTTAGCGCCCCCTTCAGGTGAATGATTCTCTCCTGAATGACCTCTCGGATGTTTTTAATCCATTCTTGCTTCACCTCAATACTGGACGCCTGACACAGACACAGTCATGCACATTCAAAACAGAAGATTCCAACAGGACGACACAACAATCATGAAAAAAGCAGGAAATGTTTATGAAAATCTTTGCTCACATGCAATTTCACTGACTGGAACATGTTTATGAATACTTACCATTCTAATAAAAGTAATTTATTAATAATAAAATGATGTAATGTACCTTGAGGACAGTCTTGTTGTCGGATGAGGGTGTGCGTCCCACCCACAGGGCAAATTTACACGGGTCTCCTTCCACATGTTCTGTCACCCCCAATTCAGAAGTCTGCAAAAGCAGAAAAATCAGAACATCACCCACAGATATTAAAATTAATTCAGTATGCATGGAAATGTATTTAATGGCATAAGCGTATGGAGTATTTAAGACTGAGATAACCTAAGAGTGAACTTTACTGAAAGCGGAACTCTAATAAATTTGTCTGACAAAATTGAAAGCATTCCCTCAGTAAAATCCTTAACAGAGTCTTAAAATGTGTATGTGAGACAATTCCAGATGACCAGAGAAAAAAGCAAAGGCACATCTGGATCTGTTCACAGGCATACTGAGCACAGAGAGAGGGGTGACAAACGCCCCATCTGGTCCACACACCTGCACGGGCTGCTTCCAGGTATGTGTGGAGACACTTAACAGAGTTGCACAATGCGGTAAAACAGAATTCAGACATAACTGTGTTCATGTGTGCACTAACTGACCCTCCCATTATTAATTATAATCAATATTAATTAATTTATTCATTCGTTTATTTGAGAAATAACTATATTATATGCTTTTTTATATGTATTACATTTAGAATTTAAATCATAATATGAATTTTATTAAGGCAGAAGTTTTTTTTTAAGAAATAGCCACACATTACACAGATATAATGTTACTCACTTCATGACAGTTTTATTATTATTTCATGAATTATAAATTTAGCACAGTTTTGAAGGACTATGGCATATAGAGGTTTGTTTTTAGTTTTCAACCAATTTTAAAGAATGCCTTTAAAACTTCAAAATAAATCTGGGCCATTTTTTTTTTTACAAAAGCCTCATCCATATTGGATAACTTTACCTTAGTGACATACATATTTTACATATTTTCAACAACAATATGCAATAAAAGAAAACTTTTCAGCAACAATGTGATCAAATTTGATTAAAATTGACATGTATAATTACAAAAGGTTTATATTTCAAATAAATAAATCCCTTTCTATTAAATGTTCACTATCTCAACTATTAATTAAAGAATCCAGAAAAATCCCCCCCCCCAAAAAAACAAAAAACAAAAACAAAAACAAAAAAACAGTAAGCATTCAACATTGATAATAATCAGAAATGTTTCTTGAGCAGCAAATCAGCATATTAGCATGATTTCTGAAGGATCACTGCAGAAGCGACACTGAAGACTGGAGTAATGATGCTGAAAATTCAGCTTTGCATCAAAATATATTCACATAGAAAACATTTTAAATTGTAGCAAAATTTCACAATCTTACTGTATTTACTGCATTTTTGATCAGGTAAATGCAGCCTCTGTGAGCATAACATACTTCTCTCTATTATCTTAACAACTTCTTAACATTCAAAAATCTTACAAAACCCAAACTTTTGAATGGTAGTGTATGTGATGAATGTACGTGAGATGCAATGAAAATTATATATAACTAAAAAAAATATAACTAAATACCAGTAGTTTGTTCTTGTAGATGTATTTGGATCGTCCCGCTGAGTCTTTGATTTCTTTGCTGAAGACGAGGGAGATCTCGAAGAGGAAGAGGTGGCGGTCTCGTCCCTTACGGATCAGAGATTTGGGGTCCCACACCTGGAAGGTGTCCTGCAGGATGAGTTCACCCTGAACATCCAGATTCTCATCAAAACCTGACGGAAGAAAACATCACGCCAGAGGCTGAAGGTTAAGCGGATCAGTGGAAAAGACTCATAAGTGTGTGTGTGTGTGTGTGTGTGCGTGCGTGTGTGTGTGTGTGTGTTTGTGTGTGTGTGTGCATGTGCGTGTGTGTTTGTGTGTGTGCGTGTGTGTGTGTGTGTGTGTGCATGTGTGTGTGTGTGTTCGGTGGTGTTGTACCCTCAAGCATGCTGACGTGCATGGCGTCGTTGGCTCTCTTTGGCACACTCAACATGACCTCCAGCCCGTCCTTAATTTCACCTTTACCTTCTTCACAGCAGGACAGCAGCTCCTGTAAGCACACACACTGTACTGTACTGTACTGTACACACTACACAGCATCTGACCTTCTCAAAAACACACGGTACCTTGAGCAGCAGCTGGTATTTGGTGATTCTCTGCACAGGTTTGATGAGGTATGATGAAATAGAGTTGGCCAGACCATGTCTCTTCTGAATCTCCTGCTCAGAACAGACAAAACAATCATCATATATAAACAGAGCATCGTTCACACACACACACACACACACTTTGGATATTCGGATGAAACAGCAATTTTAAGTCTGCTAAAAAAGACTCTTCTTCTATTTATCATTCTGGGATTAACTCAATTGTTGATTGGTGTGATGCTATTTTTTTTTAAAGTGAACACTAAGAAAACGGAGGAAATCATTTTTGATCCTAAGGGTATTGGAGATCATATGCCTGTATTTGTTCACAATCAAGAAATGACACAGGTGCAACCATACAAGTATTTAGGAGTGCATATAGATAAATATCTCATGTGGGACACTCGTGTTAATTGGGTTTGTGCTAGCTAATGCTAGCTAATGAGTCTATTACAAATTTCCCCTTCTGGGACAATAAAGTATATTTAATTTAATTTCACTGACCAGCTGAATACAGTGACATGCTCAGGGTCAGAGACTCACTGACTACATCTTCTGACCACTTCACTGTGCTCTGATGAGTAATTTCATTTCAGCTACATTTACTTTAGTTCAGTAATGTTTTAAAACATGTGGGCAATTTGCTGAAGATATAAAATAAGACAAAATATATTCAGAGTTATTAAATTATTGATTGAGAAAACTCATCTGTACTTACGTCAAAAAAACTCCCAGCATGCTCTAGGATGAGCTGACTGGAATCTGGTTTGTTTTTGCAGTATCTCACGTAAATATTAAACTTATCAGCCTGAAACACAAGCACATAAGCTTTAATTTAGCATATCAAAGCAAAACAGAAAGAGCTGCCATATAATGTTCATTGATTGTCATAATTCTTGCTATAAAAAAAAATAATTGAGCTGGATCTGAATGTCTTAAGTATGTCCTAATAGTTTATGCATATGAGCAAAATTCAATAAAATTCAATAAAATTCAATTCAATTCAATTCAATTAAAATAAATTAAAATAAAATAAAATAAAATAAAATAAAATAAAATTAAATGGAATCTGGTTTGTTTTTGCAGTATCTCACGTAAATATTAAACTTATCAGCCTGAAACACAAGCACATAAGCTTTAATTTAGCATATCAAAGCAAAACAGAAAGAGCTGCCATATAATGTTCATTGATTGTCATAATTCTTGCTATAAAAAAAAATAATTGAGCTGGATCTGAATGTCTTAAGTATGTCCTAATAGTTTATGCATATGAGCAAAATTCAATAAAATTCAATAAAATTCAATTAAAATAAAATAAAATAAAATAAAATAAAATAAAATTAAATTAAATTAAATTAAATTAAATTAAATTAAATTAAATTAAATTAAATTAAATTAAATTAAATTAAATTAAATTAAATTCTGAATAAATAGGGTTTAGGGTTAGTCGCTTGTAATTATGTATAATTAACTGCTATTATTATAGTAGGTACATATAACATGGACACTGTAAAATAAAGTGTTACCATAAAACAATATTTTTCTCAATTGTTTGTTTTAAAAAAACACATAAATTGTATGAGATGTTAGGTGCACAACAACATAAATCGTTTCCTGAGCAAATGTAATGCCATGCGGGTGCTTTAGAAACACTCACCCATGTAACAAAGCAATGTCCCACATCCTCGGGTAACTGCTCATAATTGATCAGCTCTTTCACGAATATACTATAACACAAGCAAAACAACATGCAAATGAGTCCTAATCACTGCATTTCCATAACACCAGCGATACACAATTTGCATATGTATAATTTTAATTGGAAAGCATATTAGCCAACTCTATCATCTGCAAAAACAAGAAGACAGTGCGTATTCTGATCAAAAGCATTCATTCATTAATAGTTGATTAAATGAGAGAAACTCACTTATTATGGAAGTCGTAAATCTCCTGGATGTTTCCAAAGATGATGTGCTCTTTGTTGGCGATTCCTGGGGGGATTTCCTCTACGCCGTTGGTCATCTCCCACAAATACGTCTAATAAATATATCACACGAAGAGAAGTAAGTAGACATATAGTAGGAAATTACTGTCTGCTATTAATGGCATGCAGTATCTCAATGTACAGTACATGTACAGTAATGACCTTCAGCATCTTACACAGGTCATATCATGGCAAACATGTATTTCTTCTGAAATAATGGAGTTTGGTGTACATATAGACAGAAATACAGAAGACTTAAAGGTAGAGTAGCAAAAGTGTTTAAATGTAAGGATCAGGATTTATTATTATTATTAATACAAGTGAAACACTTACCTCTAAACATTCGTTTAAGTCCCTCACATAAGCCTTTTCTGTCTGCAACAGCTCTGCTATAATAAACCTGCAACAGTACAAAGCAGCAGTCGATTATAAGAGTCTGAAACTGTGGTGTGTGTGTGTGTGTGTGTGTGTGTGTGTGTGTGTGTGTGGAGGCTGTGTACGGTCACTTACTCTTTCTTCCGGGCTGATTTCCTCTTTTCCTCGTTGACCTCGTGGTTGGGGTCACGCAGTTTGACCTCTGGGTCAGTCAGACTGGCTGGAATGATATCCAACTCCAGATCTTTATTATCCTGAAACAAAGAATGAATGAATGAATAAATAATCTTTAAATAAATATATTTTATTTAAAAATTATAAAAATTATAAATACAATTATATATATATATATATATATACACACATACAGGTTAATGGGCTACTAAATAAAATTATCATTAATAATTAATATTAATAAGAATTATTACTATTATTATTCATACATTAGACAACTTAAAGTTTGTATACAAACTTTTCTGTCTAGCAGTTGTTTTTTTGAAAAACTAAATCAAGTAATTTTAGCTGGTTTTCAGTTGTTTTTGTTAATAAATGAGCTAGTTTTAACTGGGTTTTGCTAAATGACCTGGTTTTAGCTGGGTTTAACTGGATTTTAGATGTTTGTTTATTGAATCAGCTGGTTTTAAGCTGGTTTTTGCTAAATCAACTGGTTTTAAGCTTTTGTTGCTAAATCAACTGGTTTTAGCTGTTTTTCGCTTTAATGAGCTGGATTTAGCTGTTTTCTTTTAGCTTTTAAAAACTACTCAATTAAAACTTCAAACTGAAAACCTTTTAACTTCAAACTTTCTGGCTAGGCTTTTTCAAGCCAACTTAAAGTTTGTCTACACACTTTTCTGTCTAGCACTTGTTGTTTTTTCTAAATCAAGTGGGTTTTAGCTGGGTTTCAGTTGCTTTTGTTAATAAATGAGCTAGTTTGAACTGGTTTTTGCTAAATGACCTGGTTTTAGCTGGGTTTAACTGGATTTTAGCTGGGTTTTTTTATTGAATCAGCTGGTTTTTGCTAAATCAACTGGTTTTAAATGGTTTTAGCCATTTTTTTAATAGTTATTATTATTATTACGTAAAATGATCTACATAATGATAATTTTTGGCTAGGTGCAGTACCTCAGAGCTGATGCCCAGCGTGTTCTCCAGACTGCAGCGGTATTTGCTCATACGCAGGGAGAAATCTCTGTAGCGCTTGTCCACTGCTGACACCCACTTCTTCAGCTCGGTGACGTGCATGTGCCCTTTCTCCACAAAATTATCTGCCAGCTGGATCAACATCTTCACTTTCTCCTTTGTTTGCTGCGGCACACATGAACATTATGTGCGTGAGCGTGCGGTTTGTTCATTACGCTCAAAAGAATGACTTGTTCGAAGAGTTCAAGTGGCAGTATGTGTCACACATTAGAGACGAACATGAAAAGCAAGAGGAAGAGGTGAGGGGAAGTGTTTGTGCCTCTGTACCTTGGCAGAGACACGGAATTCTTCATATTCTCTCAGCAGTTCCTGAGTTTTCTCCACTGAGTCTCCTGGGGACGTGTGAGAGGCGAGATACACCTCTCCTGCCTCCTCGATCCACTCTAATGCCTGACACAGAGACAGACAGACTCACACACAAAGACCCAATATAGAATATTCTAATACTCTTAACTAGGGATGCACTGATACCGATACCGATACCGATACCGATACTGGTATCGGTATCGGGCCCGATACTGAGCTCCTGTACTCGTGCTGGTTAAAATGCCCCGATACCAAAAACCGATACCACACAGCATGTGATAAGTGCCATATTCAGACAATGAAACCGACAACAGAACAACAGACAGCAGAATGGAGTTATTAGAGATTAAGGATGCCTACGAAGTATATGTATGCAATGAATATAATGTTAAACATTCAGTATTAACGCCTGTATAGCTGATGTGCGCGAGTTGATAAGCAAAGCGCGCTGAGTGGATTGAGCGCGCGGCGGCGCAGATGCGCAAGCTTGTCGAGTGAATATATCTTTCTCACAGACATCACTGGAAAGTTTGTAGTTCGGTCGGATATGTCAAAAACAAGTAAAACAATGCACAAGTTACTAAACGGAAGGGAGAGAGAGAGAGAGGGAGAGAGAGCGCGCACTTCTGTTGTGTGATCTTTGATGTTCACTCACTCAGCACACGCATCATTTGGATTAAAACTAAATCATAAAAATAAGACCATTCATAGGGGCATTCACTATAAATGTCATTTATTTTTAACCTTAGGCATACACGACTTTCTGGCGAAAGTGAATCTAGCAGCCTGTGTGAAATGCGCTAGGCTGTACTATTCTGCATCAGTACAAATACCTGCACGCGTTGCGCATGTTTTGCTTGCTTGAGTGTTTCTGCATTATATGAGTGGCTTTGGAATTTAAATCGCAGCATGTTTCAGATGAAAACATTTCTGAAAATATCACAGTTAGGAGATTTATAACGAGTGGTTCCCTGCATTATTACAGCAAAGCGTGTGATTACAGTACTGAGCCGCTGCAATGGAGCAGCTCTAATGCTATTAAATTAAAGATGATGTACCACAGAGCAAAAAAATGAACAGTGAAAGTAACAAAAACTTGTAAAATACATTTTAATGGGCATAATTAAGTGTGAAAATAACAGAAGGATATACAGTCAAACCAAAAATTATTCAGAGACCAGATATAATTTTTGATATTTTTTTACTAGGGGGTGCAGGATACTATAGTTCATTTATGTAAGTGAGGAGAGCAAAATAAAGTAAACTGTGACAAATCATACCCAAGATTTCTTCATACAGTGGACGACCAGTAAAACAGAAAAAAGTTGAGGTTTGCATGAAGCTGGCTGACAGCATGCCCAGGAGACTACAGGCTGTCATTGAGGCTAAGGGCTGCCCGACTAAGTATTGATAGTTGTGTAAATACTGTCATACTAACAGCTGTCTGAATTTTGGTTGATTTTAATCCATTAGGCTACATACCTTTCTATCAAAGTTATCTAACATTATCAAGCTGAATTTGTTCTGACTCAGTTTAACTCTGAGTTCTTGTTATATTTTATTACCATGTTCTAAACTATAGCGAATAAACTGTGATCATGTGAGAAATGTTGGTGTCTGAATACATTTTGGTTTGACTATCTATTTGATAAATAAAGTTAACCAACTAACATTATACATACTCTTTTGGTTTCTGTACCGAATATTTTAAAAATGTACAAATGCAATAAAAATATTGGTATCGGTACTCGGTATCGGCAAGTACCAAAAATA